TGAGGTTTTGGAAGAACTTCCAGACTAAAATGGATGAGGAAGGAAGGGCTGGCAATCTAATTCCAAAAATCAGCAGTTGCAGTAAGAGCCAAATGAAGTGTGCTGAGCCTAAAGACAGGTTTATCGAGGGGCAGAGCCAGCTGTGAATCAGGATAGCTCAGAACAACCCGGTGGTTACAAAGTGCTCCTCATGTCAGAAGCAAGTGTAGGGCTTAAGTATGAAAACATCGAGAATTGAGAATTCAAAATAATTCTGGCTGGCTAGCTAAAGTCAGCTCTTTTGATTGGTTATTTTTGGTAACTCATTGAGGACATGCCCAGGCAAGTTCCTTGTGTTCCAGCTCTTCTGCTTACTGGCTAATGTACTCTCAACCAAGGTCTTCCTGAGGGCAAGGTGTCCCTCCCTTGTCACAGTCTTGAGTGACCTTCTTAGACACAGAAGCAGAGCTCAGGACAAAATGGATCTGAGTCAATCTTCTGCATGCCGTATTAGTCATGCCAAGCACCCCGGTGAAAACCCTAGGGACCATAAGGGTCAGATCTACAGTTAGTCATGGTATGGCACAGAACTGGGGTCAGCATAACTGGGGACCAACTCAACAGCAGCTAACAGAAACAGCAACACCCTCAAAGGAGGTGCCCAGCTGGGGATGGGGCTAGGAGTCATCTCTCAGTTTTCTGGTTCTGTTACCCAGATTACCCATTCCCTTCCTTAGCAGCCCTCTGACTCCACTCTCTCCCACCATCCTGTATGCACTGTCTGCCCCACAGCCTCTGATGGGCTTCCCCTGGACATGGCTGAGGCTGATCCAGAGACCCCAGGCTGGCAGCCGTGAATCGTCATCCCTACCCACCACCCCCACCTCTTGTCAAATGATTCTCTGCTAGGCAATGCCCCCACTCCAAATAAACCTAATTCCTACCAAAGATTTACGTTAAGACGTACAGAAAAGTTGCAAGATCTGCACATAAGCATTTCCAAATCCCCCACACCCAACTTTTGTTGTTAAGGTCTTATATTAGTATGAGACATTTGGCATAATCAAAAGGTAGGCAGTTTGAACCCTCCCAGAGGTACCTTGGAAGAAAAGCCTGGGGGGTTTCTTCTGCAGTCTCAGCCATGGAAACTCTATGGATGAGTTCAGCTCTGAAACACACAGCCACCGTGGCTTGGAATTGACTCAGTGGCAATTGGCTTGGTTAGAGCTTTTGTTTGTTGGTTTGTTTTTAGATTTCTCATGTCATTTGAATGAAGGTTGGCAGAGTAGATCATATCAACCCCACATTCAACAAGTCAAACACTTTGTTTTACTAGTGTTGGCTATCTTGTCCATGTCTCGTCAGTTAACAGTATTTACTTCTATCCACGTTAACTCTTAGGAGTCCTGGTGTGATGCTGAGGATTAATGCACTGGACTGCAGGGTCGGCTTGAACTGCAAGGGTGGCAGTTCAAGCTCACCAACTTCTCCTTGGAAATCCTGTACAGGGACGCTATGGGTTGGCACCAACTCAATGGCACTTAACAACAATTTAACTCTTAGTCCCTGGTGTGGCACTGTTGGCCCGTTAACTGCAAGGTCAAACCTACCAGCTACTTCTCGGAAACCCTTTAACAGGGTCTGTATGAGTCAGAACCGACTCAACAGCACTTAACAACAACACCTTTAACTCTTGGGGTTTTGGTCTTTCAGTGAACCAATATCGATGCGTTATTACTAACTGAATCCATATTTTTCCCTAGTTTTTGCCTCATGGCCTTCCTATTCCTCTTCCAGAATCCTGGGTGGCCAGGATTCTGTGGCATTTTCTTGTCCACCTCCTTAGCTGCCTCTTGACTGTGCGGTTTCCAGACTTCCCTCTTTGTGAGCGCTTGACAGTTTGGGTGAGTGAAGGTGCGGGAGTTTATAGACTGGTCTGCAGCTGGGAAATGTCTGTGGATTTCCTTATGGTTACCCAGGCCAGGCGTTATGGGCTGGGGAAGGAGGGCATAGAGCCTTCTCATCACCTTCTATCAATGTGTTTGCCATCAACACGACTTACCTCCCTGTAGGTGTTGACTTCCACCACCTGGGAAATGTCTGTGGATTTCCTTATGGTTACGCAGGCCAGGCGTTATGGGCTGGGGAAGGGAGTGCATAGAGCCTTCTCATCACGTTCTATCAACGTGCCTACCATCAACACGACTTACCTCCCTGTAGGTGTTGACCTCCACCACCTGGCAGAGGTGGGTTTGTCGGGGTCCTACACTGTGATGTACGTAGCTTCTCCATCTTTCTGTCTTGAGCTCTTTGTGAAGAAGTGTCACTAAGGTTTGGTGTTACCCAGTGAGTTAATTCATGAAGGCAGCTCTTGCCCTCTCCAATTGGCCAAGGCCCCCTCCTCCACCCAGTGGTGACCACTGCAGCCTGCCCGCCCCCACCCTTACTGGTGAGTCATTGAAAGAGGACACCAACCCTTGCAGCACAGGTGTCAGTGACCCCTGGGGTCGTTTAGTGTCACCCCCCTCCATTGCCTCCCTGGTGACACACCTCTGAGTGGGCAGAGTGGCTCCCCTACCTTACTCAGAGCAGAGATGTGTCTTTTCTGCAAGGTGTTTTTTATATACCTCATCTCGTGGGATTTTCACAGCTCTGAGGGGGTGATAGTATCATCTCCCCTTTTATAGATGAGGAAACAGACTCGGTAAGGTTGTCACCCACTCAGGGTCTCCCCGAGTATCAGTAGCAGATCCGGAACTTGAGGGTGGGGTGTTCCTGAGATCACTGTACAGGTTCCCTCAGTCCCTGAGTAACGGGTCCGCTCTGCTCAGGCCGGCTGGTGCTCTTCTCAGAGATATTCCTGGCGTCTTCTCTGCTCAATCCACCTTTTTTTCAAAGAATCCTCTGAGGATTTTAAGAACCAAATCCCATTCCATAGGTCTAAGCTGGACTCCAGCTCAGACTAGATTTCAGTATGGAGCATGTTCCCAAAACAAAACAAACCAGTAAACTGTCCAGTTAATTCCAACTCATGGCAAACCCACGTGTGCCAGAGTAGAGCTGCGCTCCATTAGATTTTCAATGGCTGTGATTTCTGGGGAATAATTCACTAAGTCTTTCTTCCGAGGTGTCTCCAGGGGGAGTTGAACCATCCACCTTTTGGTTAGTAGCAAGTGCTTAGCTATTCAAGCCACCAGAGACTCCTGTGGTACACGCTAGGTTGTGTTATGTGTCTGTAGCCTTCACTAGAGGAAAGGAAAGCTCCCTTAGAATACTTGGGGGTCATGATGGCTTGCAGAAGAAAGGTTGTTATTTGTACAGTCTTAGGTTCTCCCTTAAGGAGCTCTGGTAGCATAGTGGTTACCAATCAGGCTGCGAACCGCAAGGTCAGCAGTTCGAAACTACCAGCTGTTCCGCAGGAGAAAGAGGAGGCTTTCTGCTCCCGTGAAGATTTACAGCCTCGGAAACCCTGTAACAGGGTCGCTATGAGTCGGAACCGACTCCACGGCACATAACAACAACAACAACAAGGTTCTCCCTTGCTTTTCACTGGCCTGGGTCATCTGCACTATACAGTATTGTTTCTCCATCTCCGGAGAGTTCTGGGCCATTGGAAGCTGAAGCGCGTGACCAGAATAAGCTGCTGCTTGATTTCCCTGAACTCAACATAACATGCAGAACAGATCTGTACAATGGGCAGTTTGCTTTGTGCATTTTTCCATATTCTCTCTCTTCATCCAAGTATTTAGGATGTATCCATGTAGGAGGACATCCTGCTGAAAATCACAATGGACACGCTATTTCATTTTTTAAAGAAATGACGCTAAACAAATTGCAACTCGCTTCAGCTGCAACCCTGGCTAAATCTAGAGCAGTTGTGTGTGCCAGCGGACCACAACCCAACTGAGATCAGAGGCCCTTGTTTACCCTGCCATTTAGAGGCGCTGAAATGCTGCAGGCACCTGACATTTGGCATTGGGCATTATCTTCCCCTGCCCAGATCCTAACCTCAGTGATGATGAAGAGCAGAAGGGTGTCCCTGAGGCAGAAGCCATCAGTGGCTGGTTGGAAACAGTCTCATGGCTGGGGTGTCTGGCCTATTAGTTTTCTGCTTGTCGGGCCCCTCTCTCAGAAAGCCACCTATTTTATTCATTCGAGTTCAGGTGGTGGGCAGAGGTCGATGGTGAGTGAACTGGAGCGTTTCTAGAAGGGTCATCTATCGGATTTCTCGTTTGTTTTGGTGGATGAGAAGGGAATGCACAGGATTTAATGTTGTTAGGGAAGAAGTCTGGGTTGGAGATGTGTCCTTCAGAAAAGGTAACTGGGTTCTAGCTGGAGTGGGAAGACAGAGCTACCCTCAGTATGTCATTAAGTTGGTTTAGACTCAGTGACCCCATGTGACAGGCTGAAACTGCCCATAGGGTTGCTTAGGATGTGAGTCCTGGCATGGCACTGTAGGATAAGCACAAGGTTAATTTGAACCTCAAGATCAGCGGTTCAAGCCCACCAGCTGCTCTTCGGAAACCCAATACTGGGTCGCTCTCAGTTAGAACTGATTCGATGGCACTGACACCAACAACAGTCTTTACCCAGGTCAGAATGCCAGGTCTTTCCTTCACTGAGGTGTGCCCATATCTGTGTGTGTGTGTGTGTGTGTGGAGGGAGGAAGGTTCTGTGGGTCTCTCTGTGAGGTGGTGTGTGTGGGTCTGTGTGGGAAGTATGGTGGACACTTCAGAGGCCCGTGTGCTCACTCGGATGTCGGCCTGAATTGCCAGTGTCCCTGAAGCTCAGAACCCTCGGAAAGAGTTCTGAAAGCCCTTTGGGGTTTGCAGGTTTATGTCCTTGAAACCAGTCCCCACTCCTCTACAACAGCTCCCTCCAGTGGTCTGACGGACGGCTGCAGGAGAGCCGCCGGAAGCCCCGTCACCCCCGAGGGGGTGGCGCCAGAGTCCTGAGGGATCTGGGGGGACGAGCCCCATCTGCAGCGGCGTACCGACGCGCGTGTGCAATTCTTTTTGCAGGGCACGCCACCATCACCAGCTACTTGTTGAACTATTTCCCTGGTCTCGACCTGGAGAGGAGGAACGTGTTCGGGTTCACAGCGCTGATGAAAGCCGCCATGCAGGGCCGGACCCAGTGCATCCGAGCCCTGATGCTGGCAGGTGGGTCAGAACCGTGGCGGGCCGGGCCCCGCCAGCCCCGCCACAAAGGTGCCCTAGCCAGTAACACGCCCCGCCCCCCCGAGTCCCGCCCCACCAGAGGCACGCCCCCATCAGACACCAGCCACCGTCCAGCCACCGTAGAGACCTATCCGTAGAGACATGCCACGGCCACATCCCTGGCAGAGCCTCCTGTCGTCAGAGCCCCGCCCCATCAGAGACACACCCCTTGCCTGAGTCCTGCCTCCCCCTAAACTCGCTCTGTCAAATTCACACCCATCAGGGCCACGCCCCTGCCGTAGCCAAGTTCCTCCAGGCTTGTGCCTCTGAACTAAGCCCCCCCCCCGCAGAGCTACGCCCCACAAAAACGTCTTCCGTGAACCACACCCCTGCCATAGCCAAGCCCCACCAGGACCTTGCCTCAGAACCATGCCCCCAGCATATCCACGCACCGGGAAGAACTATGCTCTCTGCGTTTGGTGGGCCAGAAAATACTGGTTCAGGTTTTTGAAAGCAGCAGTTTGAAGAAAGTCCTAGTTGTGATAGAAACCAAACCTGGTAGCAACAAGAAAGAATGGTTTCTTATTGAGGTGTATTGCTCTCATGAAAAATACAAAAAACAAATACTGTCAAGGCCAAGAGAAGGTCGTGTACTGGTTCCCACGAGTGATGCCCCCTCCCTTCTTATCTCAGCTGCCTCCTGTTGTTAAGTGCCGTGGGGTGGGTTCCGACCCATAGCGACCCTGTATAGGGTTTCCGAGGAGCCGCTGGTGAGTTTGAACCGCCGACCTTGCAGTTCAAACCGACTTTGCAGTCCAGTACATTAACCCACAGTCACACCAGGACTCCTTGCCAACCCTTCTTTGTTCTTTAGAAATGTGTTGTGCCCTTGACTCTGAAAGGCCACTGCCCTATTGAAAGTGGTTGCAGAGATGGTGAGGGACCAGTTGGGTTGTTAAGTGCCATCAAGTTGGTTCCCACTCAGAGTGATCCAGTTTTGGTATTTTTTTTTTCTTTGATGGGTTGTTATGTTCCTCTAAAACGATCCGGGAGTCCTGGTGTGGCGCTCTGGATTAATGTACCAGACTTGATGGAACTTAACAACAACAACAACAAAAGGAGCCCTGGTAACATTGGCTTACGCTGGGCTGCTAACCAGTGGCACCGGGAGAGAAAGATGAGGCTTTCTGCTCCTGTAAAGATTTATAACCTCTGAAACCCTAACCCCTGTGTCTGTACGTAGGAGCCCGGGTGGTACAGTAGATTAAGTGTTGGGCAGCTAAATGCAGAGTCAGTGACTCATTAAGATTCAGTCAGCCATTAAGAATTACTTTCTCAGAAACCCTAAGGAACAGTTTTGCTCTGACCTATAAAGTCCTTATGATTTGAAATTGTCTCCACGGCAGCAGTTAATAGAAGTACCTATGGTGGTGGTGATGGTTCTGTGCCGTGGAGTCGGTTCCAACCCATAACGACCCTGTATGGGGTTTCTGAGACTGTAAATTCTTTATGGGAGCAGAAAACCTCATCTTTCTCCCATGGAACAGCTGGTAGATTTGAACTGCTGACCTTGAGATTAGCAGCCCAATTCATATCCACTATGCTGCCAGAGCTCCTTAGAATTACCTATAATGATGGGTTATTTTGAGAACTGAATGAGAAAATATGTGTAAAGTACACAGAAATTAACAGCCAGGTCAGGTGGTAGCATTATTTTAATTGTTACTTTTATTTTTGTATAGAATGCTGCCATTTCCACGTGGTCTTAGGAGTTCCTGGTAGAGAAACAAAAGAAATAAAAACCCATTGCCCTCAAGTCAGTTTCAACTTATAGTGACCCTCTAGGACACAGTGGAGCTGCCCCCAGGGTTTCCAAGGCTGTAAATCTTTACAGAAGCAGATTGCCACATCAGTTCCAACCCATGACCTCTTGCTGAGCATTTAAGCACCATTTTCCCTCCATTTTTCATTTCCCCAAAGACAAAACTACAGTTTCTTCCAGACATCAGCCAGTTGCCTAGGAGTTCTGTTTAGACAACCTGCTTTTCTTTCTTTTTTTAGCTGAAGAGTTTTTATTTTATGTTCAAAGCTTTGCATTGTTTTCTTTGTTGGGTAAATGTCTTGGGTAAATCATTCAGGAAGATCACTTTGTGTACTGACAGAAAGTGGGCACGTTTTCCGGATCAGAGCGTCACACCCTGGCCTGATCATCTCGTGGCTCCTGAAGAGATGATGTGGGCGCTCTGCTTTGAGAACCCCATGAAGGCAAAGTGACCACTTGCCGTTTTGGAATAGCCTCTATTGTTCAGAGATTACTGTACGCCTCCCTGAGTTTTGTCCGCTGTTAACTTATTTTATCAAGTATGGTTGCCACATCAGATGTGGATGCTGCTGCTGAGTTGGGCTCCAGGCTGACTTGGGAGTTCACCAGTTTTTCTACTATTACCCTCCTCTGTAGGAGCTCTGGTAATGTAGTGGTTACGAATCGGGCTGTGAACCGCAAGGTCAGCAGTTCGAAACTACCAGCTGTTCCGCGGGAGAAAGATGAGGCTTTCTGCTCCTGTAAAGATATACAGCCTTGGAAACCCTGTACAGGGTCGCTATGGGTCAGAACCGACCCAACGACACTAACAGCATTAAGAACACCCTCCTCTGTACCAGATCCCATCCAAAGTTTTACATTCCATTTAGATGTTATGTCTAGTCCTGGTGTGGCGCTGTAGGATAAGCACTGGACAACTAACCACAAGGTCGGCGGTTCAGACCCACCAGCCGCTCCTCAGAAGCCCTATTACAGGGTCGCTATGAGTCGGAACTGACTGGGTTGCACTTAATAACCGCAGCAATTCCCAGCACCCTCCCTTCTGTGGTTCCCTTCTTCCTCAGTTCTCCTGATCTGACAGAGTCTTGGTCCTTGCCGGGTATCCTGAGTCTGTCTGTTGTTTCCATCATAAAGAGACTGTGGTAACAAGTTTAACAAGGAGTCATGTGATTAAAAGCTCGGATAACCTAAAGGTTGGTGGTTCGAATCCACCAGTCCCTCTGATGGATAAAAGTGTGGCAGTCAACTTCCATAAAGAATGATAGCATTGGAAACCCTATGGGGTCGTTTTCCCCTGTTACAGGGTTGCAGTGAGTTAGAATCGACTCCATGGCAGTGAGTTTGATTTGGTTTGGGTACAAGTTTAACAACTTGTTTTGGATTTCTGTTTCTGCTTTTAGCCTGAGTGTCTTAGGAAGTGCTGGGAGGTGAATATCATGTTTATCTTTTTATTATTTTTATTTAAGGTTTTTATTGTGGATTGAGTGATAGTTTACAGGGCATATCATCAGTTTTACATTGAACAAATCATACACCTTGTTTCATTACAATGATTATACTCCCCTCCATGTACCATCAGTTAACAGTATTTCTCTTTATCCACTTTAGCTTTTTAAAAACACACACACAAAAAACCCCACTCCGGCATATATAATAATTTACATCTCCAAAGAGCACGTTCTGCAAGTCTGCTCCTGGCCACCAGCTCTTAGTCCCTCTCTTCTTGTCCATGAATCTAGAGTCCTCAGCTGCTCCCCCTCTCCATGCCCCCATCTCTGCCTCCATCTCTGGTGCTGCTGCTTCTCTGGATAAGGTCCCGCATTCTGCTTGTGCGTTCCTCTCTTGATGGTCCTAGGATCCTCTGTTTCAGGACTGTAAGATTAACGATGCCCCTTTTTTTTATTACAAAACTTCTACCTTTACAAGTGTGACAGTCGCTATTAGTCATGATAACAGTTATTCACTGTTGAATCTTACGAATCTTATCCCCATCTCGTTTCACCAGACCCATCTAGACAAGATGATAGCTATTCAGTGGGGACTCTTTCTTTTCCCCCACACTCTTAAACTAAGCTCCCTCTTGAAACTTTGTAAGCCAGTCACTTTGTGCCTTTATTGCCCCTCGTTTTAGGTAGCCGATGTCTAAGTTGCTGAATATAATGTTTGTAAGTGAGAATAGAATCTTTCAAGAAGAGGACAGCCTGCTTGCGAAAAACAGCATAATTAAAATGCATCCAGTAACACTGCACTTTGGATTCAGTGACATTGTAACTGTTTTTGGTTTTTGTATTTTTTAAAAAGCAGCAAGAGTTTCAACCGAGCTTGCCCCCCCCCCCCTGTGTGGCTCTGTAGGATAAGCACTGGACTGTTAAACTGCAAGCTCAGCGGTTCAAATCCACCAGGTGCTCCTCAAGAGAAACACAAGGCTTTCTTCTCCCATAAAGATTCTCAGCCTCGAAAACCCTCTACAGGGTTACAGTGAGAGAGTCCTGTGTGGAGCAGAGACGGTACCTCCTCATTCAATGCTGGTTTTGTGAGACTTCTGTGTTTGGGGACACATCATCTGCTCCCATTACTTCTGGATCTAGTTAGAACTGCCATGGCACCTAACAACAATATGAGTCAGAATTGAGTTTGTTTGGATTTGCAGACAGGGGGTTAGATTTTAATGGGACTGTTGTAATTCTCAGTTATTTGAATAACAAATCTGGTCTTCAGATTTCCTGGGCTGATCCTTCCCCATTTCCTCCTGCATGAGCTTGCTCTCCAGCATCAAGGCCTGCAATGAAAATCGAGGGGTACTGGCCCTCTCCCAGTGCACACACCTCTGTACCTGCCTGGGGATAGAGCAGTAAGGTCACAGAGCCTCTTTGAACAGAACACCTGCCTTCCCATGTTAGCTTCTCCAGTTGGCAGTTCTGTATCAAGGCAGTCTCTCCCCTCCAGACCTTCTCTTCTTCTGTAGGGTGAGGACACGGTAGTATCTCCACAGGAAGTCATGGTGTGGCCATAATGAGCCGCATGGCCAGTGTGTGGCATGCAGGAAGCGTGCTTTCAGTATCATCAGCAGTATTGTTTATTATTATCTTTACTGTTGGAGAATTTGAAGTGTTCAGTAATTATTGGGGAAAAATGTGTGGGGTTTTTTTTTTCCCTTGGAAAAATAGGCTTGCGTTGAGAT